TTTTCTCGTTCAAAACAGTATTTCGCCAATCTTTTACTCACACATAGCGCCTAATCGCGAGGCAGCACAAGCTGGGTGCGAAATTTTCATTCGTATAACTTCGTATAACACTCTAAGAGCATGGAGATAGCATTTTCGGAACGACTGCATTTCTTCCTGAAAAATAACGCGGATACCACTTTCCCATTCATTTCGCTGCAGGTAAAATTTGTATGCACGGAATTCACTCGACTTCCAGTTTCGAATTGGAAGGCCTTTTCGGAGTGCTTTGTGAGGATGCTACGGTAATTTCAACCAATTTATGAGCAGTCACATTTAAAGCGAACGCCATGTGATTCATAAATTACAAAGGCTTTGAGCAATTTTTCTCATACCATAGTTTATTATTATTTATTATCGGCAACGAAGAAATAACAGTACATTAACTTATTTTTTGTAGTTTATTCAAGATTACAGTTACAAAATATGTACAGTACACTAACTTATTTTTTGTAGTTTATTCATTCACATAATTTGTATTTTAGCGTGGACTCCTTGTTAAACGGCACGCAAGTTAACTTTGAAAAGGCAAGTAATAAAGTCTCAAGTGAGTTGATTTGTATTCAAGCGTGGTTTTATGTATAAGTACCATATAATGATATTTATAAGAATTGCATAACTAGTAAAATGAGAATGACAGCATCCTACAGTACGAATATAATAAAAGTAACTCGAGAGTGCGTATATAGAGAATATCGATGTGGTGCTTTGGTTTAGCAATGATCCAATGCTGATCGTAATCGGGACCAAACTTCCGAGAAATGGGTAAAATTTCAAATAAATATGGGCATGTAAATTGAAAAGTGTGTTTGTTCCAGCTGCCGGAAAACACTTTTCTAGGCGCTACGAATCTCGACCATCAATGTATGCTATACGAAGTTATTACGATGAGCATTTTTCAATGAGAAAACGAATTATATTGAGAAGCAAAAGTTCTAGAAAATAGAAATTCGTTCAAAGAACAAGATCTAATAGTGGATGTAGGACGTTTGACCAGGATGCACCCCTCTGCATACATTGTACCTCTGTCTCGCACTTGGACTGGTCTGTAGGATGGCTTCGCTTAATTGCTTGCTCGCGTGCTGGCGGCTTAACCCATAAGGGATGGCGTGCGCCACCATGTGGCACAGGCCTAACAGGGCCCGAGGGCGCCAACCCATGGTGCGCACAACTTTTAGAATAAAATTTTTATTTTTGCAAGAACTTCCTTAAACTCTTTATAATATCACTGTATATGGCAACCTATTAAATAATATATGTTTCTAGGACCGGAATAGCTTCATTGTTTGCAGAGCTACAAAGTTCCCAATTAAAACCAAAACCTTCATTTACAATCTCTCCTTATTATTCACTGCACTTCAACAGTAACAGTAGTATTTCCAAAACGGCTATAGATCAAAAACTTGCATCTCAGAAACCACGAAGTAAATTACGATAGAAAAAGAAACAAAGGAAATCAAAGAAAAAGGGATACCTGAACGTAGGACTAGGGATTGCACGCAACCCGATGTAGGGATCCCCGCAAGAATACCCGGAAGCGCAAAACACAAAGAATTCGTAAATAAGTAAGAATAAGGAAATTATGTGCAGAACTTTCTTGCGCAGAATGTTCTCGAAGCGACGCGATTCAGTTTTCGCGCGCAAGCTGAGTCGCTTCTGCTCTTATCTGAGCTCACTCGGTGAAATAGCGTGCTCGTATAACTTCACAACGCATATACAAACTTCTCCGTAGTATGCTTGTAATGGTTCCGATCCACGAACCTCCCTACAGTTGCTTCCCCTACCTAAAAGTTGCTGGATTCGTGGTGTCCGGCGATAAATCTGGAGTAGCCTTTTTTTTACACTAAACCTGATCTCACTAAAGTGAAGTATCAGAATGGAGGGCTACATGGATGCCAACAGCTCGAATTCCCTTTAGGTTATGAAGTTCGGGCACAAAAACATGGTTTCCAGCGCCATTAGCACAAGCTTGCATAAAACCTACCCTGGGTGCCGGCGTGCGCCACCATGTGGCGCACGCGCGAGAGGCGGTAAAAAAGCCGGCCGGCACACAGGTCCGCTCACGCAAAAACGTCGCCGTCCGTTATGGCTTAACAATGACAACGACGTGGAAACAATCAAGGGAACTATATGAGACTTTATTATATTAACACGTTGACGACATCGCGTTTTGGCTTTTTTCACCGCGTGGGACCAGAGCGATTTTGCGAGCGCCGCCGCACATCAAATCCATGGATTTTGAGTTGTAATATACAATACTTAGATGCGACAAAGTGTTTTCAATAATGTTCGATCTGTCTAACTTATCGGGAGTTACAGTAATGGAAGTTCGACCGAAATGACGTGTTAAGGCCATGAAAAGGCAAATTTTACTTACTTTCCTTTAGTGGTTTCAAAATTAATTTGGACGTGGTTGTTTCAGTAAAAACACATATCTTGCCATACGAATAGGTTTGTATTCACTTCTATATTATTCTTTTTTATCTAAATGTTACGTTAATGAGAAAAAACGAGAAATGAACTGAACATCATGACCGCTTTCATTTTTCAGGGAGTACTGCCTCCCAATCAATGACGGTAAATTCACAATGCTCTTCCAGTATTGGGAAAGTGGATGGCTTCTTCAAAGAAAAAGGCGATAACCATTTTTCCCATTGAAGTTTATTTGCTCACTCTGAATTCCGGTGGAGGTAAGGGTCTCTCGGGAAATGGAATTACTTTGAAAGATTGGCTTTCCCGATTGCTGGTTTCTCCTATAGCACTCCACTGTTACAAAGTGCAGCAAAAATTACTACTTCCCCTCATCATTTTCGAAACCAACGCCGCAGCTAGAAATGGCCAGCTCCCCGTAAGCATGAGTTACTATGGAAATGGCATGATTCAATGACACCTGCAGAACTGAAATTGCAAAATCACGTTACGCATTTGGATATTGTCGTTTTTTAGACTTATAGAAATATGGTAACTTAATGTGATGACTTTGGAAAGGGTATAATTACGCAAGATGTCCCCTCTATATACAAAGCAGAAGTTTGGTGTGTTTGTCCGTCTGTCCGTCTGTCGGTCTATCTGTCTGTCTGTCTGTCTGTCTGTCTGTCTGTCTGTCTGTCTGTTTGTAACCACTAGGCTCACACGCTACGTAGACCCAAGAAAACAACTTGGGCATGGTCCCGGATGGGTAGGACTTGCCTTGGGCGTGTACGGTTGGTAAAAGTGGATACGGTAGTGGGCGGGGCCGACCCCATGGGCGGGGCTGGGTGGGGCTTACTATCGGTTTTTCGCGCAGAGGGCTCGAATGGGGTTGGGAATCACTGTATTGATTGGGGCCGTGGTAAAAGTCGAAATTTCACGGGTCACATGCTATCGATCGATATCGATTGAAAATATCGGTTTTTGCGCAGAGGGCTCGAATGAGGTCGGGAATCACAGTATCAATTGGGAGCTAGGTACGTATTTGTAAGTCAGAACGAATTAGGCGGGCCCACTTTCTGTGGGCGGAGCGTTCCCTAAAAAAGCGGTACTTTGTGAAAAATCCATAGCTCGCTTACTATAAAGCAATTGGTGCAGGGAGCAATGTCTAAGGTATTTCCAGCACATGACGTGAGGAAGGCCACCCACAATGGGCGGAGCGTGCCCTGAAGTGGACAGCGTTTCCTACAAGTCCTCTTAATCTGGTTCCAAGAAAATCTGGGTAGAGCAGAGAAGGAGGGCAGTGTGAATGTCAATGGCGGGCGTGGCACACAAAAGTGGGCGGAGTTTGCTACCAAATTTATAACTCGGTTCCAAGAAGTCCCGGAGACCGGGAAAAAGGTGGATAGAGGTTGGCAAAGGAAAAGAGGTCAACTGCTATTAGTGGGCGGAGCATGCACCAAAGTAGGCGGAGTTTGCCACCAAAGTATATTTTGTTTCTAAGGAAACCCGGAGACATTGAAAGAAGAAGGTAGAGGTCAGAGGAGGAGGGAAGAGTAAATGTCAATGGCTAGCTCGGTGTACACAAAAGTGGGCGGGGTTTGCTATCAACTCTGTAATTCGGTTCCAAGAAGTCCCGGAAACTGGAAAAAGTGGATAGAGGTCGAAGAGGGAAAGGGTCAGCTGCCGTTGGTGGGCTGAGCATGCACCAAAGTGGGTTAGATTTTCCGCCATACATATAGCAACAGTTTAGAGACCGATGGAATGGTGGGGAGAGATCGGCGAAGAAGAGGAGGTCAACTGCTGTAGGTGGGTGAGGTGTGCACCAGTGCGGGGTTGCTCCAACTTATAATTCGGTTCCTTAAAGTCCCGGAGACTGCAAAAAAGTGGATAGAGTTCGATGACGGAAGTGAGATGAACAGCTACATCTAGGTCTGTACCGGAACCTGTGGAGTCATCCACGATACATTATACTCGGTTTAGAAATGTCTTGGAGCGCGGGAAAAATGGAAAGAGTCTGACAACGGAAGGGAGGTCATATGCTGTTTTCAGGTGGAGCGCACAGTGAGGTGGACGAAGTTAGCCAGGAAGTGCTACAAAAATATGGATCGTCCTGTTTTATCCACTGCAGTCCCGTATGATGCACGTGAATGCGTGCGCAGCCAAACTGGTGTTAAGGTTCACGCTTCCTTGCTTTTTGCGCTTTCCTTACCTTTTGGCTTTTTCATATAAATTCTTTTCAGCTTTCCAAATAGTCTAGTAAATTTTTTCAGGGTTCCGATGTAATTGAAATTGTCGTGGGATCAACATACGAGCAAGCAATGAGTTAGATCACCTCACAGGCATTTCTGTGTAGGTGCGAGGCAGAGGTGCGAATTTTGACCAATCGTAACATACCCTTATCAGGGGTTTCTTTATTTCAAATATTCCTGAGTTTATGATGCAACAATCACACTGGAAAGATTTTCGACGAACAGAAATCACAGAAGCAGTGAACATTCTTGCTCGAATAAACAAAAAGGAATAAAGCACTTCCACAGAGGAAGTCCGATTCAAAAGTTAGCCCTGCTAAAGTCCGTGCTGGAACGCGTCGTCATTATTTTTGACATCGACTGCGACTGTGATATTTTGCGTATGCAGAAAAATCTGCTTCGTATCCATACACGATAGGGACGAACAAAATAGAATGACGTTAGAGGACACAACAACGGAATGAAGCTCATCAGAAGAAAAGAGGCATATTCAAGGAAGCGGGTGGTTATAGATGCCAAGTTGACCGACTGCATAAGTGATCACCGCAAGAAGGAAGAATGCCGGTAGACATGCCTGGATGGTGAGTGCCTGAAACATGATCATACAGCTAGCTAATGCGTCGTTTAAGCCGCGGATCAGGATTAGGTGCCAAGAAGTAGTCCCTTCTAAAGCGAAAAAGAGGGGTTCTAACCCTAAAGCTGCGACGCTGCGGCGAATCGCCTGCTGCAATTCCTATCAATCGCTGTGTAAAAGGAGTCTGTGCCTTCTCGCGCACAACGTGTTCTCTCGCGTTTTCCCTCTTTTCGCAGCGCCTCTCCGTCATACCTATGGCCGACCTTACGAGGGAAACTTGGTGTTTTTCGAGACAATTTGTTGCTTTTCTTCCCACTAACTTTCCTCGCTTGCACTTCTTGTTTGTTTTTTGAATAAAACAGCACAACATTTCGATCCCAATCCGTTCCTTCAATCTGGCTCTAACGACAAGTTGTTCTAAGTCGTTTGAATAAATGTGTGAAATAACAGTGAGACTGCTTATCTGTTTCAAAGTTGAGTTCTTCAAGGAGATGATGTGCACAATATTTTGCATAGTACTTGTTGATTTTCGTACCCAGATAGCACACCAATTAAAGGATAAAGGATAAAGCATTTGCCGTTGATCAATCCCTTTTTGGGATGCGGCACGCATTCTACTTCCATTTGTACATTCGCAGTGGCGTTTGAATGCGATGTGGCCTATACAATTATACGAAGTTATACGAAAAGTCAGTGTTTTTTTTTGGATTTGTATTTCACTGGATGAC